TTTCAAGAAGATTGGGGATACTTAATTTTTCGCCCAAAAAAAAAAAACGTAAGGGGTAACACTGTCGTTTTTTTTTCTGGTCGAAATTTTGATTTTCGATATCTCAGCTCTGGAAGGGTCTAGAGCCTCCATTTTTGCACTCAGGTGTAAGTCTCATGGCCCTCTATCAGAATGCAGAGTTTCAAGAAGATTGGGGATACTTAATTTTTCGCCCAAAAAAAAAAAAACGTAAGGGGTAACACTGTCGTTTTTTTTTTCTGGTCGAAATTTTGATTTCGATATCTCAGCTCTGGAAGGGTCTAGAGCCTCCATTTTTGCACTCAGGTGTAAGTCTCATGGCCCTCTATCAGAATGCAGAGTTTCAAGAAGATTGGGGATACTTAATTTTTCGCCCAAAAAAAAAAAACGTAAGGGGTAACACTGTCGTTTTTTTTTCTGGTCGAAATTTTGATTTTCGATATCTCAGCTCTGGAAGGGTCTAGAGCCTCCATTTTTGCACTCAGGTGTAAGTCTCATGGCCCTCTATCAGAATGCAGAGTTTCAAGAAGATTGGGGATACTTAATTTTTCGCCCAAAAAAAAAAAAACGTAAGGGGTAACACTGTCGTTTTTTTTTCTGGTCGAAATTTTGATTTCGATATCTCAGCTCTGGAAGGGTCTAGAGCCTCCATTTTTGCACTCAGGTGTAAGTCTCATGGCCCTCTATCAGAATGCAGAGTTTCAAGAAGATTGGGGATACTTAATTTTTCGCCCAAAAAAAAAAAACGTAAGGGGTAACACTGTCGTTTTTTTTTTCTGGTCGAAATTTTGATTTTCGATATCTCAGCTCTGGAAGGGTCTAGAGCCTCCATTTTTGCACTCAGGTGTAAGTCTCATGGCCCTCTATCAGAATGCAGAGTTTCAAGAAGATTGGGGATACTTAATTTTTCGCCCAAAAAAAAAAACGTAAGGGGTAACACTGTCGTTTTTTTTTCTGGTCGAAATTTTGATTTTCGATATCTCAGCTCTGGAAGGGTCTAGAGCCTCCATTTTTGCACTCAGGTGTAAGTCTCATGGCCCTCTATCAGAATGCAGAGTTTCAAGAAGATTGGGGATACTTAATTTTTCGCCCAAAAAAAAAACGTAAGGGGTAACACTGTCGTTTTTTTTTCTGGTCGAAATTTTTGATTTTCGATATCTCAGCTCTGGAAGGGTCTAGAGCCTCCATTTTTGCACTCAGGTGTAAGTCTCATGGCCCTCTATCAGAATGCAGAGTTTCAAGAAGATTGGGGAACTTACGCCGTAAAAAAACCGGGCCACTGTGTTCTGAAGAAATTTGGATTTCTATCTGGACTGGAAGGGCAGAGCCTCACGCGGTGACAGCCTCAAGACCAGAGTTAATTTTTCGCCCCCCCAAAAAAAACGTAAGGGGTAACACTGTCGTTTTTTTTTCTGGTCGAAATTTTGATTTTCGATATCTCAGCTCTGGAAGGGTCTAGAGCCTCCATTTTTGCACTCAGGTGTAAGTCTCATGGCCCTCTATCAGAATGCAGAGTTTCAAGAAGATTGGGGATACTTAATTTTTCGCCCACAAAAAAAAAAAACGTAAGGGGTAACACTGTCGTTTTTTTTTTCTGGTCGAAATTTTGATTTTCGATATCTCAGCTCTGGAAGGGTCTAGAGCCTCCATTTTTGCACTCAGGTGTAAGTCTCATGGCCCTCTATCAGAATGCAGAGTTTCAAGAAGATTGGGGATACTTAATTTTTCGCCCAAAAAAAAAAAACGTAAGGGGTAACACTGTCGTTTTTTTTTCTGGTCGAAATTTTGATTTTCGATATCTCAGCTCTGGAAGGGTCTAGAGCCTCCATTTTGCACTCAGGTGTAAGTCTCGTGGCCCTCTATCAGAATGCAGAGTTTCAAGAAGATTGGGGATACTTAATTTTTTCGCCCAAAAAAAAAAAACGTAAGGGGTAACACTGCGTTTTTTTTTTCTGGTCGAAATTTTTGATCGATATCTCAGCTCTGGAAGGGTCTAGAGCCTCCATTTTTGCACTCGTGTAAGTCTCGTGGCCCTCTATCAGAATGCAGAGTTTCAAGAAGATTGGGGGATACTTAATTTTTCGCCCAAAAAAAAAACGTAAGGGGTAACACTGTCGTTTTTTTCTGGTCGAAATTTTGATTTTCGATATCTCAGCTCTGAAGGGTCTAGAGCCTCCATTTTTGCACTCAGGTGTAAGTCTCGTGGCCCTCTATCAGAATGCAGAGTTTTCAGAAGATGGGGATACTTAATTTTTCGCCCAAAAAAAAAAAACGTAAGGGGTAACACTGTCGTTTTTTTTTTTCTGGTCGAAATTTGATTTTTCGATATCTCAGCTCTGGAAGGGTCTAGAGCCTCCATTTTTGCACTCAGGTGTAAGTCTCGTGGCCCTCTATCAGAATGCAGAGTTTCAAGAAGATTGGGGATACTTAATTTTTTCGCCCAAAAAAAAAACGTAAGGGGTAACACTGTCGTTTTTTTTTCTGGTCGAAATTTTGATTTTCGATATCTCAGCTCTGGAAGGGTCTAGAGCCTCCATTTTTGCACTCAGGTGTAAGTCTCGTGGCCCTCTATCAGAATGCAGAGTTTCAAGAAGATTGGGATACTTAATTTTTCGCCCAAAAAAAAAAACGTAAGGGGTAACACTGTCGTTTTTTTTTTTCTGGTCGAAATTTTGATTTTCGATATCTCAGCTCTGGAAGGGTCTAGAGCCTCCATTTTTGCACTCAGGTGTAAGTCTCATGGCCCTCTATCAGAATGCAGAGTTTCAAGAAGATTGGGGATACTTAATTTTTCGCCCCAAAAAAAAAAACGTAAGGGGTAACACTGTCGTTTTTTTTTTTCTGGTCGAAATTTTGATTTTCGATATCTCAGCTCTGGAAGGGTCTAGAGCCTCCATTTTTGCACTCAGGTGTAAGTCTCATGGCCCTCTATCAGAATGCAGAGTTTCAAGAAGATTGGGGATACTTAATTTTTCGCCCAAAAAAAAAAACGTAAGGGGTAACACTGTCGTTTTTTTTCTGGTCGAAATTTTGATTTTCGATATCTCAGCTCTGGAAGGGTCTAGAGCCTCCATTTTTTGCACTCAGGTGTAAGTCTCGTGGCCCTCTATCAGAATGCAGAGTTTCAAGAAGATTGGGGATACTTAATTTTTCGCCAAAAAAAAAAAACGTAAGGGGTAACACTGTCGTTTTTTTTTTCTGGTCGAAATTTTGATTTTCGATATCTCAGCTCTGGAAGGGTCTAGAGCCTCCATTTTTGCACTCAGGTGTAAGTCTCGTGGCCCTCTATCAGAATGCAGAGTTTCAAGAAGATTGGGGATACTTCATTTTTCGCCCAAAAAAAAAAACGTAAGGGTAACACTGTCGTTTTTTTTTCTGGTCGAAATTTTGATTTTCGATATCTCAGCTCTGGAAGGGTCTAGAGCCTCCATTTTTGCACTCAGGTGTAAGTCTCGTGGCCCTCTATCAGAATGCAGAGTTTCAAGAAGATTGGGGATACTTAATTTTTCGCCCAAAAAAAAAACGTAAGGGGTAACACTGTCGTTTTTTTTTCTGGTCGAAATTTTGATTTTCGATATCTCAGCTCTGGAAGGGTCTAGAGCCTCCATTTTTGCACTCAGGTGTAAGTCTCGTGGCCCTCTATCAGAATGCAGAGTTTCAAGAAGATTGGGGATACTTAATTTTTCGCCCAAAAAAAAAAAACGTAAGGGGTAACACTGTCGTTTTTTTTTCTGGTCGAAATTTTGATTTTCGATATCTCAGCTCTGGAAGGGTCTAGAGCCTCCATTTTTGCACTCAGGTGTAAGTCTCGTGGCCCTCTATCAGAATGCAGAGTTTCAAGAAGATTGGGGATACTTAATTTTTCGCCCAAAAAAAAAAAACGTAAGGGGTAACACTGTCGTTTTTTTTTTCTGGTCGAAATTTAGATTTTCGATATCTCAGCTCTGGAAGGGTCTAGAGCCTCCATTTTTGCACTCAGGTGTAAGTCTCATGGCCCTCTATCAGAATGCAGAGTTTCAAGAAGATTGGGGATACTTAATTTTTCGCCCAAAAAAAAAACGTAAGGGGTAACACTGTCGTTTTTTTTTCTGGTCGAAATTTTGATTTTCGATATCTCAGCTCTGGAAGGGTCTAGAGCCTCCATTTTTGCACTCAGGTGTAAGTCTCGTGGCCCTCTATCAGAATGCAGAGTTTCAAGAAGATTGGGGATACTTAATTTTTCGCCCCAAAAAAAAAAAACGTAAGGGGTAACACTGTCGTTTTTTTTTCTGGTCGAAATTTTGATTTTCGATATCTCAGCTCTGGAAGGGTCTAGAGCCTCCATTTTTGCACTCAGATGGCCCTCTATCAGAATCCAGAGTTTCAAGAAGATCAGAGAAACTCAAAATTTTGACCCCCCAAAAAAACCAACAGCGTTACCCCTGTCAAAATGATCAGAGAAACTCTTTTTTTTTTTCACTGAAAAGTCAACAGGGGTACCCCTGTCGTTGTTTGGGGTCGACATTTTGAGTTTCTCTGATCTTGGGACCAGTTTGTCAAACTATGGTGCTGTTTTTGGTCCTTTAAATCTAGGGTGCCTAAAAACCTCTTTTCAGTGTCTTAAACTTGTTTGTGCCAGACATGAACTGTCTTTGAAAGAACTCACTTTTTGCCAAACAGTCAGAGCTGCCGTTTTGTATTCTCAAATAGTGCTATTCATTCAATTCAATTGGCTTTTTTATTGTAGGTATAAAGTACTTGATTGGTTGATGACAAACTGACTATGGTTTGCTGTGTAAAGCTGTATATATATCATTGTGTGTACATTAGTATTATTGTATTTATGGTTTAACCTTTAACCTGTTTATCATGGATTGCAGTTTGTCTGCTTGTTCCTCATTTGCGAAATTTTAGGACTTTAAGTGAATAAATTTTAATATACATTTTGTAAAATTGTTTGTCTTTACTATGGAACGGAAGTATTAAAACACAACAATCGCACATACAGCAAAAATATTCAACTTTATTGAAATGCATGTTTAGATACTTTGACATATTTACATTGGTCGGTCAAAAAACGATATACCATGTTAAAATTTATAATGAAGACGGCACAACAAAACCACAGAACATAAAAAAGCACACTGTATTCTGAGACGAAGATAATATATTACAGGAAATCATCTCATAAATATCCAAACCACACAACTAATATTACAGATGAACTCATCTGTCTTGTGTCAATAAAATATAAATTTGGTCAAATGTATCTTAAAACAAGCCATTCATCTGCCTCTATGAAAACAAAAAAATATAGAAAGACCACTGGCAAATTTCACCTTTTTCTCAAATGTTACTTTGTCAGTTGGCATTTAGGAAGTGTTTTGCGTAAACGTACATGTTTTTCGTAAAAGAATGTTTCTACACAAGGCCAAAGCGAATCCAGACAAATGACGCGCCATGTATTTCAGTTTCACTACTGGTTTAGAGTCAGTTCTCCCGCTGTTAAACGAAACTCAACTTCAGTTGTATAAGAAAGGCTGAGGCTAATCAGAACTCCCAACCGGAAGTTACACGCATCACTTGTATTCACCAGTTTCCGTCAACAACACAATTTAAGCTGGGGAAGGCACCATTGATTCTAAGTGTTATAAAGGAAACAGGCATCAGCTTAAACAAACGACAAAAAAGGAAACTTTAAAGCTGTACCACAATCATTCCAACGCAATGTTTGTTTGTCAAAGTCTGAAACTGAACTCCGTTAAGGCCATTCACGTGAAAATCTGTACAATATGCTTCCTAAAAAAGGTAACCGGGCCTCAAGAACGACAAGCGAATTTCAACGAAAGTTATACGATGATTTACAGAAATTCGCTCGGTTTAAAGTCTTACACGAACAAACTCAAGAGTTTTGCAAACAATTTACATAAATCAATTTGAATTCAGATAATGTTTTTACAAAAATTCTATCGGCATGAATTCTTATCAAGACTAATTTACTCAAATTTTGAAATTCGCTTCATGGATGGATTTACAATGGATCTGTTCCGCTCAAAAATTTTGCAAGTAGCTTTACACAAACATATTCGGCTGAAATTCTTACGAATGGTTTTACGAATTAAAATTTGTCCTACGCAAATAATTTTATAAAACGATTTACACCATTTTTTTTCCCCATTTCAAAATGTACGAATGTTTTTACGAACGAGTTACATACGTTTGTTCTATGTGAATTCTTGCGAATAGCGATTTGCACAAATTCGTTCTGCTTGCGTTTCATGAATGACGCCTTTTGTTTGTGTGCATGTTCTCTCCAGGCCCTTCTGATAAGGAGAACACCTTGTGTCCGGAAACATTCCTGACCGGGTTAATGTCCCTGAGTGAGCTATGGTAAATGAAGAACTATAAATCAAAAAAGAGCAACATAAAAAAGAAAAGGCAAAAAAAAAAAGAATAAATAGAAGCCATTGCAATAGTGCCTTTGGACAGAACCGTCATTAAATATATGTTCTTCTATATACACATTTCTTTTAAAAAGTGGTGCTCTATTCATGATACAATAGGGACGCCTAGTCTTAATCAGAGACTTTCCTTCTTGCAGAGTTCACACACACCCGTCTGTAATTTTCATGCTTAATTAGCAAGTTCAAAACTCTGCAGGAAGGTAGAGCTCTAGGTGCAAGACTGTGCATGCCTTCGATATAGTTTTACGTTTCAATAAATGACAACAGCCTCCATGCGCAGTTCGTTTCTCAATGGTTAGGGGGCGTGGCCAATACAGCCACATGGAAACACCCAATCACACGTTAGTGTCCTGTAGGAGGGGCTCTTTGGCCTCTCCGGGCGGGTGGGGACTGTGTGAGTGCCCGTGGGGTGATGTGGGCTTCTTCCAGCTGCCCGAACGAGTGCCCATATGGGGGTGTTCGGGAATAAAAAGAGCCACCAGGAGCGCCAGCAGCACAGAACATGCGCCGAAGAGGAACGGCGGTCCTGGGATTATTGCACTCTGCGAGGGGAACACATGAGGAGGGAACACGGTTAACACAATGGCAAGACCTCTTCCCAATACAGTCTATGGTGAAGGCCTATTTACACCCAAATGCTCATAACATGAATATGCGCAATGCCTTTTTAAAATGCATCTCAATGAACTTCCGTACACTGAGGATTCACTCATTTTCAGGAATGACTTTTTAATTGCTTGGATTACAAATATTTAGCAATTTTACTGATGATTTACAGAGATTTATTTGGCTTAAATTCTTGCAAATAGTTTTACTAACTGTTTACCTCCTAGGAATGGTTTACACAAATTTGTACTCCACAAGTATCCAAATATATATTTTTTAGAGAATGTAAATTGTGCAATTTTACAAACAGTTTAGACAAATTGTTTCTGCTCAAATTAAATTTTGATCAAATTTTTTGACAAGGCTATTTGTAGCTTTGCTGCCTTTTATGTTTTTTTTAATTTTATTTTTTTATTCTGTGTTCTGTAAAGCACTTTGGTCTGTCTGAGCGGCTGTTTAAATGTGCTATATAAATACGTAAATGAACTTGAACTTCTGCTCAAATTATTATGAAAGATTCTACAACAGAAAAAAAAAATTACAAACTATTTCAATTTTTTCTCTGGACTAGAAAATATTTTTATGATATAAAAATATAAATATATTATATGTAAATATATTTATATTTTCTAAAAAAATATTTATATTTATATTTATATAAAATATATTTTAACAATTTACATAAATTTCATCTGCTTGAATCCTTGCAAAGAGTTTTACGAACAATTTATTCTTCTTGACATGAGCGATTTACAAAAATAGATACTGCACAATTCCTTCAAGTATCCAAATATTTTCAAAGAATTACAATTCTGCAAATTTTACAAACAATTTGGTTCCACTCAAATTCGAACTCATAGTTTTACGAACAATTAACAATCCTTGCTTGAATTTTTACAAATTATTTTGCTTGACTTTTTAACCCTCTGAGACCTAAGGGTATTTTTACAATAATTTTTCCGTCTGGTGTCATGTACTAAAAAAGCTTGTAAAATATCAACCCTTTGGTGCACAGACAATTGACACAGCTCTTTTTTTTCAGGACAAATTAAACTTTCAGCATATTTGTGTTACATTTATGTCACCTGAATGTAAAATAAGTTATGGGACCATAAAGACAAATGAAAAAATAAATCGGAAATGGAATCACTCAATTATTTATTGAAATCACACACAAATAAATAAAAGCTAAGCAATTTTCCTCTGGAAAATAGTTTGTTCATGTCTTTGGAGTCCTGGAGCACAGGAATAAACATTATAACTTGTACAGAACAAAAACTATTGACATTTTTCCAAAAGAAGTCCAGGCGTTTGGGGCCTCATGAAATTCACTGGTGCCAAGCCTCAAAACAGTTCCTATCAGCAATCCCACAGAGGGCCACATCACAGGTTTTGCATTTCTATTTTATTTATTCTTTTATTTATTATGTTCTTTTTATTCTTTTATAATACATTTATACTACTATAATACTTTTTTACAGTAAATAAATAAATGGCACTTCAGCTGGGTCTATCCTGGTAATCTAGTTCCTCATCTGTCAAAAAGCTCTGTTCTCCTGAAATCCATCATCCTGCAATGCACCAAAATAGACCAGCGCTTTATTTACGTCCATTTCGCTGTGTTTCTCTGTGAATCGCGCGTCTCCGTGAGTCTCTCTATCTCTCTACACTATAACAGCGCTTGGTTCATGCGTAATGACGCACACCAATGTTTACGACGGATCAGCCTGTAATTGGTCAAAAAACATCACGTGAAAACATCACGTGATATCTAGAATGTCCGCTAGCATCGAGCTAGCGGCAAAAATGACGGAATATTTATGAATTATGGACTTCAAGAGTATCAAAGTTTGACATAAAGCGTTGGATTTATTGCTGAAAACCTCTGAAAGGAAGCACAAGTTCCAGGCTGGATAGAAAACCTTCTGTAAAGGCTAGAAAGACCAGAAAGACACCCCCGTGATGGCTAGCTCGTTAGCTTTCTGCTGGAAAAAACGGTAAGAAAATCGATAAATCTGTCATCGAGTTATGTAAACATTTATCGGAGGTGACGTGTGGCATCGTCGACGATGCCTTCGGGCTCAGGGGGTTAAAGCCACACACTGCGGAACTTTTGGCCACTAGATGGTGCTCGACCTGTAACTTTCACTTCCAGCGTCCCTAGAGGCCACAAGCTCCGCAACACTGTCGCAAATTACAGCCTCCTGTGTCTTTAGATTGTGTATGCTCGCAGTGTTTGAGGCGGGCCGGGCAGCCTTGCTGCGCTCGATTCCCTTATAGCAGCCGGCTGAGAGAGAGCGAGCGGGGTGAGACCCGTGGGGCTTATCATGTCTGTGAGTGAATGTGGGCGCCAGACAACGAGACATTTACACAAATTTGTTGAACTTGAATTCTTGCAACTAGTTTAAATGCTTGACTTCTTTAGAATGGTTTTACAAGCAATTTACACAAATTAGTACCAAATAAGGTATTCAACAATTTTTTCAAGTATATAACTTTTTCAGAGATTAACAAATACACAATTTTTTTTTACAAATAAAATACACAAATTGGTTATGCTTCAATTCTTATGAATGATTCTACCAACATTTAACATGTCCTGTTGAACTCTTGCAAATGGTTTAAGAATGATTTAAAACAAATTTTTGATTTGTGGAGGCTAGGTTTTGTTTGTAATTGCAAATAATGCAATAATGCAAAAAATAATGCATTGCTATGAAATATTGTTTGCAAATATTTTATATTTGAGTGCTGTTTAGCTGTATTGGACTTTATCAGCTATTATTTAAAAAAAAACATGTTAACTATTAAACAAACCTAATAAAAGCATAAACACCATTCAACATAGTTCAGCTAAAATGCAACGATGTGTGGGACCTTACCTGTTGGTGGGGATCATGGTGATGCGGTATATCTGGGTCTTTCTCTGGAACTTGGTCCAACTCGACATGAAAGATGTAGAAGATGAAACCGTAGAGCGCCGGACCCAAACCATTACACAGTCCACGGATTCCCGTAACCATACCCTGACCCACGCCTACAGAAACATGAGCTTTAGCAGTCGGCCTCAAAGAACATGCAACTTCACTTCAAGAAAACCTACCTTGTTGATCCGGGTCAGCTGTGCGGGAAATCAGGGCGCTAACAGCAGGGAAAGTGATACTAGACATGGCGGCAACTGCTCCGGCTGCCCACATCATCCTGGGAATTAGGAACGATTTCAGTAGTAAAAACTCATAAAATCGTTACATTACTCTTAAAGCAACTGAAGTTTCCGGTCTTACCATGGCTCAGATCCGAACCCGTACCAGGCGAGTTGCAGAATCTGAAATCCCAGGCCCAGCAAAATTGTGTTCTTGTTCCCGATGGAACGCATGAGTAAACTTAACACTACAGTCTGTGGGTGGAAAGAAAAGTCACATTCAACATCATCCCCCTATTATTAAATAATGAAGTAAAAAACCTTTATTAACATGTATCCAACTGACCTGCGCAACAATAGACAGCAATCCTAGAACAGCGATGAATGCAGCGACACTTTCAGGGGAAAATCCCATTATCTGGATAAGAGGGTCAAATAATAAAACTTTACAGCCATGTTTGTTATCAGGATTTTGAAAAAAAAAACTAGACCTCACCCTCTAAACACAACTAAAACCCGAGTTAAAGATTAACCACAGAGATAAACCCAATCTGTGTGTTGACGAACCTGTTGCAGGTACAGGAAGAAGCTCGAGTATTGTCCAGCTTCAGGCAGATACGACAGGAACACTGTTATACAGATGAGCAGAACCGTCGAGTCCTGACCCACCTTCCTCAGAGACTGGAGAGAGAAACAGAAAAAGACACTTTAACACAATTATTTATTTTTTATTAATTGTACACTCTTTAAAGGAGAACTCCGGCAAACAATGAACCTTTGGTCTAATAAAACATCGGTACATAGTCAACCGTTCTCTGAGATTTGTTTTCATGATAATCGAATGTAAAGAGTTTTATCTCTAAAAACTGTTTAGCGTATAATGCTAGTGATGGGGGCATTGACTAAGTAAAAAGAAATCGCTAGTTTATACCACTAACAAGGCTCAAAATAGCCCCACACTAACACAGTAACATAATGAGGGTCCCTACATGCAAAACGAAGCATTGAGAACTTTGTAAGTGTACAGACCGTTTAATAAGAAGATACTTTATAAAGACAGTTCACTTTGCGTATACAGACTGGAGCCATCTTAAAAAATAGTCTTGATAAGTCAAACCACGAACGTCGTGCTGAGTGATCTGAACTCTATGAAGTTCAGCGAACTTCTGAACTGTATGAACAGCGTTCGGGGATCGACTTATCGAGACTATTTTCTAAGACGGCTCCTGTCTGTAAATGCGAAGTGAACTGTCTTTACAACGTATCTTCTTATTAAACAGTCTGTACACTTACAAAGTTCTCAATGCTTCGGTTTGCATGTAGGGACCCTCATTATGTTACTGTGTTAGTGTGGGGCTATTTTGAGCCTTGTTAGTGGTATAAACTAGCGATTTCTTTTTACTTACTCAATGCCCCCATTACTAGCATTATACGCTAAACAGTTTTCAGAGATAAAACTCTTTACATTCGATTATCATGAAAACAAATCTCAGAGAACGGTTGACTATGTACCGATGTTTTATTAGACGAAAGGTTCATTGTTCGCCAGAGTTCTCCTTTAACATTTAGCCCATTTATAATGAATATTAGTACATTTTAATTATACTATTTAACACTGTAAAAGTAATCCTTTAAAATACTATTTTTACTTTAAAATAACTGATTTGAGGTTTTTTTTTTAGTGTTTAATACCAGCCATTTATCACTTGTTGGCTGATTAAATGTTAAAATTATTATAAAAATCTGCATCAGGTGGAATTTTAATATTGATCCATCCCTATTTGTAATATTGTATTTGTAGGTATCGCAACCATGATACATTGAGATGGTTCAATGTTAAATCCATTTATGTGTTTCAAGATCACATGTTTAACAGACCTTTCTCTTCTAAAACTAACCAATCAAAACCAAGAACACTGTGGTGGAAAACTATAACAGGCTTCGCAGGAACTCTTCAGAGCAAACCACGTGTGAAAACGGCCCTATGCGACATGCGTAAGCAGCTTCTAATGCAGCTTTAAAATCTCCATTATGTCAACACCTCGAATGGGCGTAAAAAACTTCCCTATTGAAAACCACACAGGATATGAGCGAAGAGTTGTGCCATTTTTCACTTTTTAAAATAACCAGTACATGTTTCCAACCACACTCATGCTGAAGGTTCTGCATCTGAGGTGCGTTTAACATCTTTAATAAATTCCAAGTGAAACGGATTATCCGGTAGGAACCGGTTTGGGAATATACTCGAGTGGATTGTAATATTATTGCACCAAGCAAGTTCAAAGAGGTCAAATCTACTTACAGCAAAGGGGTCAGCTTGTTCCCACGAGATGGGGGCGCCCCAGGACGCCGGCCTCATCTTTTCCGGAAGTGACTCGGGCACGGCCACCAGGATGAAGCAGATGTCCAGCATAGCGATGGCAGAAGCCAGAACCACCACCAGACTGTCTCCATAAACCTGACTCAGATAAGCGCCGATGGCCGGGCTGATCACAAGACTCGCCGCAAAAGTGGCAGAGACCTTTTGGTAAAAGCACAGACATATTAATGCAAAAAAAAAAAAAGAGAGAGGTATAAAGAAAGATGGTGATGATGGGTTACACGCACCATGCCGTAAGCCATACTGCGCTCATGCTCTTGAGTGATGTCGGCCACATAGGCGAATATAACCGAGAAGGTAACGGCAAACACTCCAGATACAGAGATAACGGCAAAGTACCACCTGAAACACAAGAAGAACGCTTTAAAATCTTTCTATGCATGTTATTTAAGATGTGCAGATGTATAAAAAATCCAAAACAGACCGATATATCCATGAGATATTTGGGCTCTTTAAGTAGTGTTCTCAGTATAATTTTATGTAGCCTATATGACAAACTTGTACTGCACGTTGCACGTAATTGTATTTTCCTGTCTATTATGATATCATATTTCAGGCAATTAAAAAACATCATGACGAACTGAAGTGTCTCAGCGTAAGGAAATAATACATTATTTATCTGCTTTAATATATTGGCCAAATTTTCTTATTAAGCTGATCATGATAACATTAAAAATGAACATATATCGGCCGATACTGATAAGGTGGATGATATATCATGCATCCCCTAATTTTGTGTATATTTCATGTGCAAGTTAAAATTAGTTAAATATCACATTAATTTCAAATTAAATACTGAAATTACTAAAAGTAAAACTGAAATAAAATTAAATGAAAGCTAAACTACTAAAAATTACAAAAGCATGTTATTAAACTACTAAAAATTACAAAAGCATGTTATTAAACTACTAAAAATTTGAAATTGAAAATAAAAGCTAATTAAAAGTATGAATTAATATCATAAATCATACTAAATTAACTCTTTTCAGGACAAATACATTCAGACCTGGTAAACTTAAACATGAAAACTTAAACTTGTTTGTGTATATTTTTTTCATTGTTTTATTGAATTATTTAATTAAACAATTACATTAAATTAAAATTTAAATGTATACTTTGTTTTATTTTATTATGTATACACAGAAATAAATGGTAACACTTTACAATGAGGTTTCATTAGTTAACATGGACTAAGAATGAACACATCTACAGCATTAATTTGAGCTAATGTTAAAATCAACATTTATTAATGCATTATTGAAATCAAAATTTAACATTAACATTAGTTAATGCACTGTGAACTAACATGAACAAACAATATACGGTTATATTTGAACAAAACAAGATTAATAAAAGCTTAAAAGTATATATATTGCTCACTGTTAGCTAATGCATTAACTTCCTGTATATTATTTTACCAAATAGATTTACAAAATATTTCGTTTTGTGTCCAAAAAAAGAGAAAGGTAACGTACCACGGGCTGATCTTCATTAAAGGAATTGGAGCACACGTGAAGAACACCGTGAGCAAAAGAAAGGACTTCCTTCCCCACACGTCTGACAGAGCACCAATCAGAGGAGCGCTTAGAAACGACAGCAGGCCCTGTGAACAAAAGCATGCAGTTGATGAATTATGAACTCGACTCAATAATAGATCTTTTACAGGAAGAAGTTAAAGATTATACCTTAACCCCCTGAATCAAGCCATTCATGAGAAACGTGTGTTTCGGGAATGTTTCGTGAAGAGCCTGCAGTCACACGACACAAAAACAGCATCGGTTATGACGCGCACGCAAGTGTATTTTGAACTTTTTTACATGATCATATTACTCAATATAATAACAGGGACATACAAAGGGTTTCTAAACACGACACTTGATATGAAAATAAAATCTCACTTCCGTTACGATTTTCTTTGTATTTCTGTTTAAAACGACCACAACTTACTCCCAAAGTAGGTGCTGTCAGTAAACCCCAAGCGAAGAACTCCAGAAATATGACGATAACAGCATGATAAACACTGGGGGCGCCGAAGCCCTGAGGCTGGAGAGAGAAGAACCAGAGACGGTGAAGAACATGTGAGGAAACATTATTGTTACACATCCATAAAGCTTCGGTTTGGTTTTTACAACAGGTAAGGTCTGTTTGTGGCCTAATCCTTCCAACGACATATTCACAGGTGCCATCATGGCTTAATAAGTCCAGTAGACAAGATAAATCTTATTAAAAAAGGAACAATAAACAAAAGGAACTAGAGCAACTAGGTTCAAATTAAGACCATATATAGACTCAACCAAACAAAATTGTAACGGATCTTGACAGCCAGTGAACAGGACAAAAACTCATTCGTTTTAGCCTACAATTGTGTTTCTGAGCATTTCAGACAAACCCATTGACCCTTACAATGTTTACTATCAATGGCTTATTTCTAAAGAAATGGGGGTTTTCAGGGCATATTATAAGAGCATGTTTACACAACATCGATGTCCTAAAAACGGAAAAGGTTTTCCCTTGCGTTTTTCGCATACAGATGACAATGTTGTCCAAACGATCCCGTTCACACAGATCCTCGACATAGATTAAAAGCGCTGTATTATTCATACCAGGCCAGTAGATGTCTCTTTGTAAAGAAACTTCACGCCTATAAACTGGTAATTCACGTACTTGTCACTGTTTTCACAAATTTGTTTTCGTATTTCGGTATCACTTTCAAAAACTTGCACCTGTTTTTTTATTTTGTTTAAGTTTGTATTTTCAGGCCCCCCAAAACGCTGTCACCGTGTAAATTAATTCTATTTTTAGTTGAAAATGGTGTCGTGAAAACGCCTCCCGTCCTAAAGCGATTAAAAAATTGTTTTCGGTAATAGATGTAAAGCTGAAATTAAACAAAATATTTGATGAAAACATTACACAAAAATTGAAAGCACAGAAATATTGCTTTGATAACGAACTGAAATAAAGCTAGCTTAAGTTGAAATTCTAAATTATTAAATCAATTTGAGATAAAAACAAAACAAAAGCACATAGCAAAATTAGCAAGACAAACTAAAATTAGGCTACATTTTTTTTATAAATAATACTTTCAAGATATAGGCCAACAGTTCAAGACAAATACATTCATATCCAATAGATATCCGACAGACCAGACGGGTTTCACATTTCTATCTTTACAAATTATACCGTAGCAATCATATAACAATAACAATATGCTTTGACATTTTGCATAATACTGATTATCTACCATGTTATTTGCATAAGAAATAGCATGAAATTACTATGGTGTCATGCAAAAATACATGGTAACTCTAAGCCTAGCAATACTATAATCATTTTTATTGATATTTTATTTTAACTCGGCATAATAGAGAACCATATAACAATTTAAGCCTTGTTTTATCTGATTTAAAAATAGAAATTATTTTATTTACAGCCACTCAGCCAGCCATAATGCCATCTTGACATCTTTTACCCGCTTTAATGTGTCATCAAACCATCTGAACATTAATATAATAACGCATGAATTGATTTAAATCGTTAATCTTGACATTTATGCGTGCTGGTATGATTTATTGTTAATAACAGGAAGTAAATGCTGATGTTTACAGCCATGATGAATGACAAGACTTGAAGTTACACTCCTCCAATATATTCTCAAAGCATTTTTTCTTTTAAACATTAACACAATAATTATGTAGACGTCTACTTAAGACCTAAACCGTCGTGTCTTAGTGTTTATTGTGGTCAAATTTAGCAAAAACTCACCGTTCCTCCATCCTTGATGATGATTTTCTTCGCCAGTAACAAACTGCGATTCACTCGCTTCTTCTTCTTCTGGGTCATATTATCATTCTAGTTCTTCACGCTAGGTTAAAATCGGGTTCTTTTTAACGTAAACGCGTGTGCATGGATGCGGAGCGGGATATAGAGGAGGGAAGAGGGGGGAATTTTAGGAATATCGGTTTGTTTTCCGTCCATTCAGTTTGGCATCATGTACACAGCAGCAGCCATCTTCCCGAAGAGAGACGCATGGTGTGCGTGATGACGTCGGCATCATTCGATTCCGCCTGGCCCGCACACGTGGTCAAAACCTTTCACGTCTATCTATGGTAAAAAAAAAAATGTATATCTAGTATATTTAAAATACAATTCTATTATGGCCTATATTTATTATATAAACTATTTGACTATTTTCCCTTTAGCTTTTTAGCTTATTTTTTATGATTTCTCCATTTTCTTTGAAGTTCACGGAAAAACACTAATAATTAATAAAAAAAAATATTATTATAATGTTTTATATATTTATAGTTTAACCAGAAATCACTACTGCATGTCTTATTTATTGGATAAACTTTCCCTGCATCCAAAATAAAACACTGAGTAGGCTAGTTATTTAAATTTTAATGTTCTTCTATAGTAGGCTATCTATGGATATGGGCAGTGGAGTCTGGACCATAGATATCTATGGTCTGGACATACTAAATCCTCCATGATGTTACTGTCACGTGACCTACCTGTGTTACTCTATGCCATGGTGTCACTGGCTGCCTCCGAAATCGCATTCTTCCCTACTATATAGTAGGCAAAAAACAGTATGTGACTAAATAAGATTCTGAAGTGTGCATATAATGAACACTTTTCTATCCCATGATGCCACAGAAGAGGATTTGTGAATGGCAGTAAAGCGACGCAACTGACACATGATAATGACAACATGGCGAATGTAGTATGTACAGATTACATTCATACTGTATAAAACATACTTTTTTTAGTGGTCGTAGCCATTGCCATTCTCCCTGCGGCCTCATTGGATAGTAAAGTGTCCATCAAATGCGCACTTCAGAATCTCGTTGGAAGTAGTAGTTCATCCGGGGAGTTTTCACCTACTGTTTTTCGAATACTATGTAGTCAGACACACTACACAGTTGGTGTACTGTTTTTCACATACTATAGGGTAGGTAAGTATCCCATTTCAGATGCAGGGCTTGACTTGATTTAGCACACTAGGACTTTGAAGCCCTAATAGGGTGTTCATGAATAAGCCAGTTAAAATGGAGTGGAGAACTACATTACAGATGACAGACCACTTCCAATTTTTGGACGTGCATGATCTTGTGTGCATGTCCATTAAATCACAAAACATCAATGTTAAAGAATTTTATTTTGCATTGAACAAAAGCATGTTTGATGGTTTTGCAGTACCATGCATGCACACAGGAATCTGAATTCAGTCCCAATGACAAATCCCTTCAGGTTGAAAATTTGGGATATCAGAAATATTCACAGGTCAAATGTGCCTCACTGTCCTCTACAACATATTCATATTTACAAGCTATACACAAAACAAAAAACAACAGACCACAGCACATAAATACCACACACATTACAGTTTCTGTCATGTAGAAGCTTTAAGCAATAAATAATAAATATGTAACGAAAACCTACATTTTTAGGCCTATTAATGTAATACCACTATCATTTAATGAACATTTTTTCCTTCTCTGCAGTCTCAGGAAATTCTCTTTTATTGCGAGGTGTAAACTACTGCCATTTCAAATCTGGCAACTACTGATAATGAAAAATTAAATTTACGGCCATGACAGCAACCTTTCTCTCTGTTTTTGAGCATCTAAAACCATATAGGGAGTCATCCACACATTAACATGCTACATTCAGTAATACGGATGTGCCAACTGCTGGTGTGAACACTCTGGACTTCACTCAACGATAAAACAAACATATACGAACCGAAAATGACAAATACCATTTTCGTCTCTGAGATGTTCTTGTGGGATTAAAGACTCCAGTTTCCTGTCAAGCAAATTTGAAATGCAGGGTTATAAATGACAATGATTTTTGGCATTATGTGATTCTTGCTGTTACAGGAAACCATGGCTGTCATATTATAAGGACAACCCTCAGACAGGAAACCATGACAACATTACAATAGGAACAGCTCAAGACCAGGAAACATGGCAGCTGAGTTACAGGGCCAACTACTAACCATGGGAACCATGTTTTTGGAGCCACTGTTAGATTGGAAACCATGGCTACTGTGTTATAGGAACAACTGTCAGACTGGAAACCATGGCAACTGTTATAGGGACAACTGTCAGACTGGAAACCATAGCGACAGTGTTATAGGAACAACTGTCAGACTGGTAACCATGTTATTGGAGCAACTGTCAGACTGGAAAACATGCTAACTGTGTTATAGGAACAACTGTCAGACTGGAAACCATGGCAACTGTTATAGGGACAACTGTCAGACTGGAAACCATAGCGACAGTGTTATAGGAACAACTGTCAGACTGGTAACCATGTTATTGGAGCAACTGTCAGACTGGAAAACATGCTAACTGTGTTATAGGAACAACTGTCAGACTGGAAACCATAGCAACTGTGTTATAGGAACAACTGTCAGACTGGAAACCATAGCAACTGTGTTATAGGAACAACTGTCAGACTGGAAACCATGGAAACTGTTACAGGGACAACTGTCAGACTGGAAACCATAGCAACTATGTTATAGGAACAACTGTCAGACTGGTAACCATGTTATTGGAGCAACTGTCAGACTGGAAAAACCATGCTAACTGTGTTATAGGAACAACTGTCAGACTGGAAACCATAGCAACTGTGTTATAGGAACAACTTTCAGACTGGAAACCATGGAAACTGTTATAGGGACAACTGTCAGATTGGAAACCATAGTGACAGTGTTATAGGAACAACTGTCAGACTGGTAACCATGTTATTGGAGCAACTGTCATACTGGAAACCATGCTAACTGTGTTATAGGAACAACTGTCAGACTGGAAACCATAGCAACTGTGTTATAGGAACAACAACTGTCAGACTGGAAACCATGGAAACTGTTATAGGGACAACTGTCAGACTGGAAACCATAGCAACTGTGTTATAGGAACAACTGTCAAGATTAGAAACCATGGAAACTGTTAGGGACAACTATCAGAATGGAGATCTGACCAGAATGGTCAGATTAGAAACCATGTTATTGGAGAAACCGTCAGACTGGAAACCATGGCAATTGTGTTGTAGGAACAACTGTCAGCCTGGAAACCATGGCAACTGATTTACAGAAACATTTCTCAGCCTGGAAACCATGGAAACCATGTTACAGGAACAACTGTCTGACTGGAAACCATAGCAACTGGTTTACAGGACCATTTCTCAGCCTGGAAACCATGGCAACCATGTTACAGGAACAACTGTCAGACTGCAAAGCATGACAACTGATTTACAAGAACATTTCTCGGTCTGTAAACCATGGCAACCATGTTATTGAAGCAACTGACAGACTAGAAACCATCAGACCCTCAGAAAGGAACCCATGTCAACTGTGTTCCAGGAACATCCGTCAGACCAGAAACCATGTCAACAGTGTTATGGAATAAATCTCAGACTGGAAATCAAGACGATTGTGTTATAGGAACATCCTTCATTCTGGAAAACATGGCAGCTTCATTACAGAACTCTCCTCAAGACTGGAAACCATAGGAACTGCATTACAGAACAACCCTCAGACTGGAAACCATAACAACCTTTAGGCAGGCTGTTACAGTACCAACAGTAAAAACAAGAGGGATCCATGGCAACAGTGTAGAAACCTATAAAAGTCAATGTTTACAATCTACAAAAGAAGCTGTCCTCTAGTAATCCTGCAGAAGATTCGTTTGTTTTATATATATTAACAAAAGGGAAATAATAAAGAGTGAGTTGATGTGGATGGACAGATGCATGATAGAACGTTCCGGTGTTGTTTTAGGTTTCAGGACTGGATTTACAGCTACTCCACAGCCCTGTTCATCATTTTCTTTTCTCGTGTCTCTCTTTTTCTTCTAGTAGTCTTTCCCACACAATCGTTTGACTGGTTTGGCACTCAGTCGAGCTTGCTGAGGAAGTCGAGCAGAGCGCGGTGGAACTCGCGGGGTTTGTCCATGTAACAGGCGTGTCGTGCTCCCGCCAGCTTCACCGCGGTGTGATGGGGCAGCTGAATCAGGTTCTTATGTGATTGGGCGCCCAGGTTGGTGTCTAACTCCCCATATACGATCAGCGTCGGAGTCTGTCACACATACAGGAAGTGAGAGTTAAAACAAGTCAAGGAATTCCTAAGTGTGAGATGACTAGAAAGAAACACGGCACCTGGATGTCGCGGTACTGCTGTGGGGTGATGCCGCGGGTACCCACGGGGGCGATGGGCACGAAGCCGTGCAGCTGGGCGCTGTGTTTCTGGAGGAACGGCAGGGCGTAATGGCCACTCATAGATGGGCTCAGTAACACCGGCGCTCGCACGCCCAGAGCTTCCAGAAAACGCTTCAGCAGGTCCACGCGGCTCTGGTCCGACTTAACCGACTCTGAATCTGGAGAATTCCCGAAACCTGAGGAGGAGCGAGTCGGTTTAGTGATCTGCTTTATATGCATTCAATAAGATTTTGGTCGACTAAGCCTCTTCTTGTCGACTAACGTTTAGTTGACTATTATGGGGCAGCCCTACTTATAAGTTTACAGAGCTCATACCGGGCAGGTCGAGCGCGAGGGCCTGGTACCCGTTGGACGCCAGTAGGCTGAGGGTGCCCAACTCCTCCCAGGTCTTAGAGGTGAAGGCCTGACCATGAAGCAGAACCAACTGCAGCCTGAGGACGAGAAGATACACTTACTGAAACTCAGCAGAACAATAGGTCATATAGAAATCGAAATAATTATTTGCAGAATTTAACAAGTTTGGAAATTAACACAGTTTCCATTAAAATACCACAGACAGTCTATTATCAAATTACGGATTATCAAAAATGGTCAGGGAAAAAAAAAGTAGGACTTGGTTGTATCCATTGGATGGATCTGAACGCGAACTTGCAGTCGATTGTAAGAAAGGGGCAGGTTTATGTGGACTAAATGATTGAAGAAATCTGGCATACATCACCAGAAAGAAGTCTGACAATTCACCAGAAAATCATGTAATATTTTGATGAAAAATTCCCATTAAAAAAAAAGAACATGCATGGATGAATCGTTCACAATAAGATCAATAACATGCATTAAGAAAATAAATAGAGTGATTTTCCATTTCCTGCTGATGTTAGTACTGCACTGTGTGAGCTGTGTTACATACATCTACACAATTCACAATAAATATTTTTTTGCATGCAAAATATCAATATTGTGAAACACTTTTACAAAGGAAGTCTAATAGGCAAGGTATGGAAGTTTCCGGCACACAATAAAGCTAATTGCAACTTTTCTTGTCACAATTCTGCCTTTTTTCCCTGACAATTGCACGTTTAGCTACCAGTTTCACAGACCTAGTCCCAGACTAAAATGCATGTTTAAACTGTTTTAACTGAGAACAACTGATCTTAAAATATGTCGGTGCCATTGTTTTGCCTCAAGATGCACACCTGTAATGTTTTTTTTTTCTAAAGCACGTTTATTAAAGCTACTTAAATGTCCTTATTAAAACTAAATCCTAATCCTGGTTACTTGTTAAATCTAAGCCTTGTCTGTGAAACCAGGCGGTCGTTCATTATTGTTACTCGGTACTTAAATGTACAATTACACTGTAACACGAACACATAAAGTGTAACTTAAAAGTTTTTATTATGGTACCATGACGACATTCGATGGAACGAGTCAGTTTTAATATACTATTCTGAAGAGCTTTTCGAATATTACGTCAATTTGTATACGTAGGAACGTTCCAAAATTGCTGTTTATCTAGGTAGATTTCAATTCAAATTGAAACTATAATCTGACCTGGGCAGTATCTGTCGTCCGGCGTTGTCCACGGGTAGAGCCTCCCGGAAGAAGAGCGGCGGGTCCCCGGGCAGCTGTCCGGTCCTGACCGTGATGTTGATGCCGGACGGCGGAGGAGGAGAGGCGGGGATCAGACCCATCCGCTGCTGCACCTCCAGAGACGGTTCCATGCTCCCTTGCCGGATGGAGGGCAGCAGCAGATACAGCAGCACCGTGGCCAGTAACACCAGCCCCAGAACCACCAGACGGTTGCGGAAGAAATTCATAATCTGCATGGAAACCCATTTAATTACAACATCCACACTCGGTTTAAGAAGATGACACGAGGACGACACATTAATCTCATTAATCACAGCAGATTAAACCCCCAGACTCCATTTTAACCGGTGGACATAAAAACAATACACGAAAATACATTAAACACAATATCCGAATATATTAAATACTTGCATATTACAATAAAGCATACATTTGTAATTTGTAGTTAATGCATAAATGTCTACATCTAAATAACGTCAATCATATAAAGTGCGCAGACGTACTGCAGCTCTAACTAACCTGCCGATGCATACAAAACATAAGAACTGTGTTGTGCGTTTAGTACCTACCTAAAAAATTAAGAAATAATGTAAATATCCAATAATCGATGATTGCTTGAAAGTTTGAGATAGATCATTATTCGCACGTAGTGAGCAGAGCACCGTTAATGCGTCACACACAATAATAGTTCCGTGTGGAAACACGTGCACGTGCGCGATGGTTCCGTTCGAGTGTTGTGTTTTGAGATTTAAAAAAAGGGTAATTACATGGGTTAAACAGTTGATCAAAAATTGTGGCGTTTTTTTTTTCTTCTTCATACTTTTTAGTAGATCCCATCCAATACTTTGGGGGTTTACATGCATTCGAGGCTATTCGAATGTAATAATAATAATTTACAAACAGTTTTTACTACTTCAAGTTGCAGGGCAAGGACAAGTTGTGTATGAAATAATATTTTCTTGTGTTCCCTTCTTCTAAGTCAAGTATACTTGCTGTTAATAGTCACTGGAGTTCTCTGTCAAAAAACAAACAAACAAAAACATCTTGATTTGAGTCAAATTTGGACGACACACCTCATAAAGTGAGGTTTCACATAAAAAAAATTCATCGAGTTGACCCAGTTAAATCACTTGTGGCACAGCGTTTTAAAGTTAACATGGAAGATATTTGTTTTTTGTTGTTTTTTCCAAATTTCCCCTGATACTATTAATCATTTATTTTGGGAGCATCCTAATACAAAAATATTTTGGAAAGAACTCAATAATTACTTAGAAATGACTTTTCTCGTTAACTTCGTAGAAGCTGATGTTATGCTAAAATGTTTTTTTATTTGATGGTGCTAAAATATTGTTTATATTTGATTTAATTATTATTAATGCCTGTTACAATGTTCATAAAATCAAAAGAAATGAAAAAAAGCCAAGTTTTCCAACGATATAAAATTAAAGCTAAAATATATTTGGAAACAATTTCAAAAAGTAAAAACTTACACAAACTCTTCAGCTGTTTAATAGGTACGTGTATTTTTCTCACCCCTGACTGGTTATATGTACTCTTGTATGTACAATATGTCTTGTTCTTATTAAAATAAAAAATAAAAAAGCTAATCGTTCCTTGGACATCTTTCAGAGTTGTTGCGAAATTAAAAATCTCATAATATTATGGCATGTTATTACACATTTGGAAACGTATGCAGGCCCTAAGGACACAGTAATGATAGGCAGAAAAATTATAATTCAATACCTTTGCATTCCCTTAAGATACTTTGCGTTCAAAATATAATTTGAGACTAGATTTCAATCCTTTTGCAAGCGAGGGGAACACTAATGATTGCAAGCGAATGCAAAAGCATTTTAAATATATAATTTTTCCTTGTATCTCATAGGATTTCCATTTAAGGCCTTAGGCCTCAGTCTGCGTGTATAAGGCGACTCAATTTTACTATATAACGCTAAATGCGTGCTACTTTGTTATAACAGTACCATCTTTAGTTTTAAAAACACAAGTATTTTGGACATAGTAACACCATGTTTTTGGATATCTACAGTATATGTCAAGCCTTGAACACAGTATTACAATCTGACACTGATATTATCTTACTTTGGAACAACTATGGCAAAATGTTCACAAGAACAGTATCATTTGAATACAATAGAAAACAAAGACATTGCACAGTCAGCGTTTTCATTTCTATTCTAGTCAAATAAAGATAAAAATGTAGCATTCTTCAAACCAAACCTTACATAATATCGCACTGATGACGTATTCACTAACTCATGTGGATTGCACATTGCAGTGCGATTCCTAACAGTCTGAGCCACAGATTCCAGTATTATTCACACATACCAGAAAACACACGGAAGATCCGAACGGAAAGCCCCACTGGGGGTCGGAGAGGGGGGGGGGGGACTACAAGGAGACTGGATGTCTGGTTCGAGTTATAACACAAGGCATTCTCTGTGCTGCCAGCCCATAATGTTTCCTCTGGCAGCGTTCGACAGACCCCTTAGAAGTGGAGCAGGACCTAGAAAACAAGAAACCAAGGGGTGGAAAGAAACCAGAGGAAAAGTGAACTAGCTAGTAAGGATGAGGGCAAAATGGCCAGTGTTGGGGAAAGTTACTTTTAAAAAGTAATGTAATATTGCATTACTCCCTAAAAAAGTAACTAATTGTGTCACTTAGTTACTTTTTTATGTAATGCCTCACAAAAAAATCAATTTTTACCAAATATAAAGGCCTAAACGACCCTAAAACTTCAGTTTAAATTAAACAAATCCCATATTTTCAACATGGCTTAGACGCTCTGGAGTTACTTCCCAAAAGTTAATGACAAATTCAAGCATATAAATATAAGATTTATTTAAAAACTATAAAACACACACATTTCACTTAGACTCAGTCACCAAACAGAATGACACAAGCAGAATTTGGTATCAAATTTTGGTATGAAAAATAAAAACGTTTCCGTGAGATTCCTTTCAATTAACACAAACAATTAAAGGGATTGTTCACCCCCAAAATTTGAACTCTGTCAATATTTACTTATCTGGACAAGAAAGCAAGTCAAAGAGGTTCAACATAACGGTGAACAAATGTCAGAATTTAAATTTTCGGGGATGAACTATGCCTTTAAAAGGCACTTACAACAGAAAAAAAAAATAGCTGTGATGAAACAAACTCATGCTGAACATACGCAAATAAAACCTTTCCAATGTATCCCACACAAATATAGAACAGAAATGCTAAGTTCAGCAATTAAGGGGGGAAATCCGGTCTGAAAATAGTTCAAGGGAAAAACTATTAGGAAAAAAAAATAAAAGGCATCTAAGCTTCTGTGAACCACAGTATGCTGGACATTTACATTAATGTTTTTTGGCAGAAGATTTTCAAAAATGCCTCACTATCCAGCAATAAGAAAACCTGTTAAGATCATGCCCGAGGTCATATTTCACCCCAAAATCAAAACCAAATAAATGATAAAAACTTTTATTTAGCATAAAGTAAACCTATTTTTATGACCAAGATCTTTTGTGACAGTGTTGTCTTGATAATTAAACACTTTCGCATAACTGCAATGATTTCATTGCAATGAATTTATCAAAATTTATTCATTTATAGAACATGTAATAAATTATGATTTTATACCTTATGTAATTATTTGTTGTATTGCCTTTAACCTATTATCCTGTAAGTAAATAAAAAAAAACCATCATGATTTTCTATTTACCGTAATAAAACTAATGCATTACTATAATGAGAATCAAATTGAGAATAGTGAGAATTAAACGAGTATTTCTGGGAGCAAAATACACAACTTTTGAGCAAAAAAAAGTAAAAATCTCCTAAAACAGGTTTATTTTTCCTTATGCAAATTATTTCCTTATTCCTTATTTTTCCTTATGTAGTTTCTTTTAATTTTGTGGTGAAATGTGAGACAGAAAACAGGTTTCATGACATTCAGTCCGAATGAGGTTTTAATGGATGCAGCAGCGTTGCAAGTGGCAACATGTGTCCCTTTTAAGGAGCTGGCATGTGACGCACAACAGAAATAAGGTCACAACTGGTTTTGTGCAGGTAAAAAGAAGGCAAAGTAGTAAAATGTCTCAAATGACAGCTATGGGGAACCCAGCACAGGACACGCAGACAAATATATATATAGTGGCCACAAATTAAGAATCCGTTTTCTATTAACGAATTTTGATCAAATTAAAACAAGGGAACAAATAATTACAACATTGCCACGATTTAGAAAAACAAGGGAAAAGTTATTCTTATATTGTGCGCATGATTTACTTCAAATGAGGGAACAAATTAGTAAAACCTGCTGATGTATTAGTGAGTTAATTGTTAATTTGTGGACACCATATAAATACTTTTCCCCTGCATGTTATGTGCAAGGCTCCACACGGCTAAAACCACCACATCAATTATTTAAACAAGAAAAAGCACAAACATAATTTCTAGCTAAACAATCATACTTTCGCCTGCCACAGTTCAGCCTCCCATGCAGCAGGGGGCGACCTACTCGAACAGAAGCACACTGTGCTGCACATTTAGTCCACAGAGTTAGCTTGTGTGTTTTCAACTGCTCCAATTGTGTCCTCTTTCGATTCTAGCGAACGAAGGGCCTTCCTGCCGCCAACGTCGCGCATCCCTTGAAGAGAAGGTCCGGCGTTTGTTCTCAAATCGTTTTTATCGAACTCCTCAGTGTAGGAACCCCATCAAGAAAAGCGGTAACAGCAGAACTTGCATAAAGGTAGTCCAGACCGCCGTCGCTCTGTTCCCAGTCTTACTTTGGCCACAGTCGTCGCCCAAGTACCCGTTGTAGCACTGACAGTGGAACTCGTCCTGTAAGCGCCTCAGTTCTTCTGGTCCCATCCGGCCAATAACCTGAAGCGTGTTTCCTTGGCGCTCTATGCTGTGTGTGTCTGGACTGAGATGCAGGTAGGTGTCCGTGTTGGAGTGTTTGCGAAGGCAGCGACCGCGGAATCCACAGAGGTTTCGGCTGCACTGCTCGGCGGCCGACGTCACGTTTAGAAGGTAACGACCCAACGGCCCTCGCAGGTATTCATTAAGATTAGAACAAGTCGCCTGGAAGGTGCGAGGAGAAATCAATTACGAATTTCAGGATATAGAAAACACACGGGACAATATCTATTGCAATCACTAACTGCTAGGACGATTAAATGGGCAATTTTTTCATCCTTTCTTTTACATTGGCATAATAAAAGAGATCCACCGATAGCTCATTTTCTGTTTATTTATTTAATGTAATTAAATATTAATATAATTAATCTTACATATTTATGGAAGAGGATTAGGGCCAAGAAATAATAAAAAAATTAAAACCATCTCGAGATTGAAGTCATTACAATGCGAGATTAAACTCGTTAAATTTCAAGAAAAAAGTCAAAATATAATCTTGAGAATAAACTCATTAAATATTGAGATTAAAGTCATTATAATGCGAGATTTAATTCTTTAAATTTCGAGAAAAAAGTAGAAATACAATCTTGAGAATAAACTCGTGTTTTGAGAAAAAAATCGTTAAATTTTCTCGAAACCCAATGACTTTATTCTCGATATTTAATTAGTTTATTCTCAAGATGGTTTTTCGAGTTTAATCTCGCATTATGACTTTAGTACCAAAAGTACCAACTTCAGAAATTTAAAAAATGTGATGATACCAGCATTTCCCTCCGGGCATTTAGAGCACTGTTAAACAGATTCTTAAACACCTCTGATTGGCCATTGCGTTCATGCACTCAACACGTCTCTGATTGACCATTGTGTTCATGCACTCAACATGTCTCTAATTGGCCATTGCGTTCATGCACTCAACATGTCTCTGATTGACCATTGTGTTCATGCACTCAACATGCACGTCCCTGATTGGCCATTGCGTTCATGCACTCAACATGTCTCTGATTGGCCATTGCGTTCATGCACTCAACATGCACGTCTCTGGTTGGTCATTGTTTTCACGCGCTTGAGCATTGTAGCAAATCACAAGTGTGTGAACACAATGGCCAATCAGAGGTGTTTAAGAATCTGTTTAAAAATGCTCAAAATACCAGAGTAAAATTCTGGTATACTCACATTTTGAAAAACTTTCAGTACAGACTTTTAAAGTCGTCTGTACTTTTGACAACACTAAGACATAGATATACATACCATACATACACACACATATATAAATATTTTAATATTCAATATATAGGGAATATATATAAATATATATATATATATATATATATATATATATATATATAAACCCCACTAAGATCATACAAGACTCATCCACCTGTAAATGGGAATATTTTAGGATAATCGACTCTTTGTGCATGATCCCTTCCTTTAATTTCACCCTGAATTTTAATAATCATTGGTTAATCCCCCTAAAGTAAATTTACGTGAAGATGGTGAGTAAACGCCCTGATTAGAGCACAAACGTACTTGACTACTAGCATAGTTGGAGTCACCCCAGAGGATCACGCCCGCTACACCCAACGCCACGCTCTCGCCAATAGTCGACACCAGATCCATCTGTGCAAAGAGAAGACAGAAACAAATCAGTTCATCTGAACACAAATATTATGATCTGATCAGAAAAAAAAACACGCATTTAGATAACACTTCATGCGTCACTGAACGTGTGGCCTTCGGAAATGGAAAAAGACAATCAGCAAAATAAACTCCAAACACTGAGGCTCTTGAGAGTGTTGTGAACAGTTTGTGCGAGTGTGTATATTTGTCAATCGTTTTGCTATTTGTATATTTGTGGCAAGTGACATCGGTGAAGAAAGACAAAGAGTTTATTCTTCTCTTTCTTGAGTACACACTTTGTATTCGCCCTCATTATGTCACTGATAAATGACAATCACTCTTTCATTTATTGGCTTTTGTTGAAATACTTCACCTCTCGTTCCACAGACACTGATCCAAACTCTTGATAAATAAATGACTTACTCTGTGAGACTAGGGGTGTAACAGCACTCAATTAAAAAAAAAAAAATTGAACCGTACTGTTCTCAACCCATGGTTCAACAACACACACTTATACTGCGGTCAATGTAAAATCTGACAAGGCATCTATAATATGGCTTGGGAAAAACAGTTCCTATAATGTACGCTTCTGTCGATGGATATGCTCTGCATGTATGTCATGTAAGCGTAGCTGTCCAATCAACTGTTAGTTTGTAAATCTGTCGCTGACATCACAATTCCTCACGTGTTGGTGTGTTGCAGTTCAGTATGTCAAACAAAGGAGACATGCCACTGATTAGGGTTTGGCATAGAATAGAAAATCGATTACAATTCTAGAATCGGACAATTGTTATATCATAACAATAGATTCCACTTACCGATTTTTGTGTGCGCATTCAAGAAGACACAAAAGAGAACTCAATGTGGCACTCGCGTGCTCTTTTCTCTGATTTTTTTAGTGTGCGCACCACAAAAAAACGGCTTTCATATAGAGTTCTCTTTATTGTCTTTTTGCGCTTAAACAGAAAATATATTGGATCAGTACATTCGGTCTTAAAGTGACGACAGCCTAATATACCTGCCACTGTCTGTGTCATTAATATTAATTAAAGAACAAAAGACTAATAAAAATCCCACTGATCTGAAATGAATAACTTTAGTAATATATAATGTAAGATATATTGATTTGTGTTATTGCTAATTTGTACATTTGTTCTTATTATATTAGTGACTTTTTGTTGTTGTTTACTTGTAATAATGTTTGAAATTTATATTAGTCAGTCTAGTTTATTAGTGTTTTTTGTTCATGGTATTCAGCAGCAACAGAATGTTTAGTTAAAAGACAGAATAAATATGTTTGACATCTAAATGTTTGAATTAGTGTGACTTTTTACAGTGCAGTTTGTTCTCACAAAAAATTCCTGTCTGTTAATACAAGTCATGTGATAAGACTCAAATGTCAAGAATCGTCCTCCACTAAGAGTGTTGTAGCTAAAGCGTGGTGTTTCTCTCACAGACACGCTCGTAAAAGTGGCTTGGCTTGTATTTTTATACCTGGCAGCGCTCAGACTCTCCAAACGTTTGACGAACCTCAAACGCTACCGGAGGCCAAACCTCTGTCATTTCCCTACAAACACAAACACTCGCCCCACACTGAAGCACAGACACGTCCAGTAGACAGACCAGAATTAGTCAAGATTTCAAGAACAGCTTTACTGGTGTCTTAGTGTGGCAGCGAACCAGACGTGTCATGTGACCTGCCGAGCTGTCTGTGTGAACAGAGTTAAGGTAACTAGGCATGATATGATTAATCAATAAGCATTGAACTCGATGTTATGAGGCATTCATGCTAAGACTGCAAAATCACTAAAATGCTTATGCTCCGAAACAGATTAAAAGCTGTTTTTTCAATCAGAACAAGCAAACCAGGGTGTTGACCAGAATACTATAGTGCAGATCAACTTCAACAAAGAGGCGCCCACAGTGGTCCAGTGGTATTTAACACTCCTTTTTTAAGAAAGTCAAAAGTCCACACAGAGAGTAACACACAATTTCAGGAATCTCACCTCGGTCAGCAGCAGGAGTTCAGGAGAGTTGCCGTTAGAAGTTGGGGTGGTGCTTAGGTAAGTGGGCCGTGTGTAGACAAAAACAGGTCTGGCTGACCCGTTCCCAACAGACGCCAACCTCATGCCTTCGTTAACGCGGTTCCGTACGAACTGCCGCCCGGACAGTTTGTCCTTCAGCGGTATTCCCATGTATATGGAAGGAAACAAAGCTGTACTCTCCGTCCACAGCCACTTCAGTTCGTCGTTCCTGGAGACCTCCACATCCGGACAGCGTCCCGTGTAGTTCTGGTTATTTTGGTAATTGTGGTTGTAACAGTCAGGAAAAAGGTAGAACCCCCAAAGCTGTTGGGGCCGTAAGCTCTTGGCCAATCGAAGAGTCTCCAACATGAACTTGCTCGCAGAGAGCTCAAACTCTTGCTGGGCCACTTTGGCCACCTGATCCGGAGACCAAGTTGGGTTTTTCTTAGTGACTAACTGTTTTGAACTCTCGCGGTAAATGTCTTTAGTGCCCCAGTTACGTTTCCAGAGGGGCCGCCACTCTTCCCAGTCGATCACAGCGAGACCTTTGGCTGTCGGGTCCTTGATATACTTATTGAGCCCCTCCGACATCCGTTCTAGGTGTTCAGTGAGACTGGCGTTCTGCGGTAGGCCACCGGAGATTGGAGTGCCGTCTGCCTCATAGTATGGGTACTTTCCCAAACGGTTATGATAGAAAATGGTGAGATTTTGCTTGGTGAAGCCCTCATTTGGTGACGCCACTATTTGGAACTGATCCAACTGGAATTTGACATCATGTCGAGGTCTACAGTCTTCAGTAGGAGCGTTCCAGGCCAACAGCAAAGGCTTCCCAGAGTACAGTGGCCATCTAGTGTTTTTTAACTGCTCTGCTTTTAAATAGGTCCAAAAGAGCATCAAAAACAATAGTTGTAGACAGGAGACCCATTCAGGTCGGGTCGTCCCAAAGAGACGTGTGATGTTCCTCATTTCAGACCTAAAAACACACACACAAAAAAAAACACTAAAATACCACATATATCCTAAAGTATGTTCAAATATTGTTACATTATACATGCATTTACACACGTAACTAAGTACTTTAACAGAATTTTGCTAACTTTAATCAGAACACAATTGATTACATTTATAATACGTATTTTCTCACAACAGGTGTTGCCTGGGAATCAAACTCATAATATTGGCTTTGTATTTTCCATGCTCTGCCAGCTGAGCTACAGTAGCAAAGTTTTACAGAAAGATTAGCAGGAACTTTCAAAGGATGGAAAATATGATTTTCTATACAACAACAACAACAAAAGCAAAATAATCACATCCATTAAACTAGCCATCTTTAATTCATTGTTGCATTATACTTATAGAAATAAACTAGATAATTTACATTCACCACACTTTTATCAAATACTTCTAAAATATACATTTTACAGTAAATGCGTTCCCTCGGAATTGAACCCATGAAATCGGCATTATTAATAAATGTTCCGCCGCTCGAACTAGCTAAATTAAAGAACAATCATATTATTTTAGACATTATACGGAACATTCAAACTGTTTCATTCTTAAAGTTGTACGTTACAAATCCGCTTCTTCTTTTATTTCTAGGAACTGTTACAGAAACTAGCTGTGATCTATTTGAGAGGAACCACTGACCTGTATATATCGGGCTGAACCCGTTAAACACACCGGTCCGATCACTCAAACTACCACGCAGCGTCCATGCATCTATCCAGCGGATGCAAACAACTCATAACTATAAACTTCCAAACGCTATTTCGTAACAAACCAGTCTATTATCATTGTTTCAACGGATTTAAACGCCCAGTACGCGTTCAGAGAGTAGCTCGCTCGTGCTCAGCTGGCTCATCTGGATCAGTGATTGAATGTGTGTGCAGATTTCGGCCCTCAGCTGATGCATGTAGTTGTAGGTAGAGGGTGCGAGTTGTTATAAATGACGCAAATCACTATTCTTTGATGTAAAGTTTTGCGATCACTCAATACGATACGACATATTATTATAGATTTTTTAATATAAAAGGTGCCGAGGTCGTTGATTTGACTGTACAACCAGAGTTCTCGACAATGTGCCCTCTGGGCCCCCCCTACATGGCGAGTTGGTTTCGTCCGTATTTCTCCGCTGGGGATGAAGACGCTTTTCTACTGAATCGACTCACTCAACCGAGCTGCCTGAGATTGAGCAAAATAGTTTCTGGATTGAGAGACCCACAGGAGTCGAGAGACATCACACACAGATCACATTTCACTTCGAAAACATTGCGAAGAATGAGATTTTCCTCTTTTCAGCCTTTTCCTTCCTTTGTTTTATTAATTATTGGCACAACAATGAAAATACCGACTAGCAAAAAGACCTGAGGTAATATTTCGTTGTTTATTAACACGCTAACATTACCAAGTTTGTAGCCTACCTGGTTTTAATTTTGACATTTGTATCATGTTAGTAGTACCATGTTTTGGCAATACCATGGTACTTTTTGAATTCAGTTACACTGATAAATTCACATGATTGGCGAAGCTTAAATACAGGTGAGTCAATTAGCCCTGTGAAAGAACTACATTAGAAAACATTCACTTATTAAACTTTAAAACTATAAGCCCCAAAAATGGCATTGCACAACACCGTAGTGTTGGTGTAACTGTCTGGCGTTAACCTTTATTAGGCAGGAAGTCAGCTGACTGCAGGGAAGAGCTGTTTCCTGTGGCATTGGGGACCATCCTGTGTGATGACTCACCGGAAACTGATGACGTACACACGAATGAACCAACTGAACGGAAGGATGCAACGACCTTAGGACCTCATAATATCCCAGTCCACTGCGCGCAAACACATTTCACTGCGGGTATAACCCGCTTGCTCTTTACGGATGCTAATGTTTGTAGGGATCTGGGGTCACAGGTGAGAACAAAAGCTTATTCAGGCTCAAACTACGAATCTCTATAGACGCCTATAGAACATAAAGGCTTCACAGAAAGACCTCGTTTCCATGTGTTACAGTGAAGATGGGCGTAATGACAAGTTGCGGTCACTTCTATAGGAGTCCTGAGGTCTCCATTAGCAGGAAAAGTGAGGGGGCCGGATAGAAGGAAAACCACTCACAGCTGGAGACCAAAGGGGTCACCTTTGATGTCTCCTTTGAAGGGCAGATGATCCACGAAAACATCACAATTGCTATTAGGGCAGTTTCAGTACTTCATTGAGAGTTAAAAATATTCATGTACGCGCATTGGCGAGTACTTTGAGTGCATTTGTCCCTCAAATGACGAAAGACGTGTTTTTGTTTGCTTCTGACCACAGCAGGAGGCAGATATCCTGTGTCCCCGGGCAGAATAATCCTAAAACACATCTTGTACTAATAAAAGGACTGTAAGAGCCAACACAGGCCCTTACAGTCTCTTATAAACAGAGAGCAGATCTAACAGCTGTGAGTGATTTTCACTGTTAATGTCTAATTAAATGGGGTTATATAAAAAACTCGCCATCTGACTCTGACAGGTGTTTGTTCCTTAATGTTTAAATACTTTCTTTCGCATCTTGTCATGGCCAGTGGCCACTGCTGTTTTTGTTAACTAAAACTGAAAATATAAGTTAACAGAAAAAAAAATCTAATATATAACATGTATTTTCATTGCGGATGGAAAATTTCAAATTTTCATTTATTTTAAGTTGAAGTAAAATGACTAAAACGAGTAAAACTGAAAAAAGTTAAAATATTAAAATTATCGAAACTTTAACAAATGAAAACTAAAAATAAAATCTGATTTAAAAAAAATTAAGAAACAATAAAGAAAGTATAGTAATGATGCTAAAAATAACACTGATCCTGGCTTAAAGGAACCATACACCTAAAAATGTACCTGCTCAATATTTTCTAGTGTACAATGAAAGTGAATGGGGACTGGAAGTGTTGAGGTCTAAAAAAGTAATCCGTACAACATGTGATCTCTATTTCAAGTCTTCTGAAGCCATATGATAGCTTTAACATCATTGACATTAAACTCAGTGCAACATAATGAAGCGTAAATGGGATTTCACAACTATGATGACGTAAAATCCCGACACAAATTCATCAGAAGACTTTAAAAGACTTAATAAACAAATATCAAGTCATGAACCACTTTTAAGCTATTTTTAAATTATTTCTTGGAGCTTTTCAGCTCAAGTCTCAATTCACTCAATAAGGCCATGAGCAGCCTGGACATTCGGCCAAACATCTCCTTTTGCGTTCCATGGAATGACAAGGTGAGTAAATGATGACCTAATTTGTATCTTTGTACCATGTCCATTTTTGACCATATCCATCTTACTATTATTTTTTAAATGTAGTTTACTCCAAAACAATTACTTGCATTATTATTTTAAAAAAATTCTTCAATAAAGTTGTTTAAATAAACACTTTCTAAGTCATTTGCTCCTACTCACCGTACTTAAAGATTGTCTCTCTCTCTTTCAGAAGACAGATGTCTCAGTTTTCTCTCTATATGTAGATGTACACCTGCTTCAGCTCGCCTGCCACTGTGAGTCTCTGTTAAAGCAACTGTGTATATAGTTTTGAACTTGGAGAGCCCACACCCTTGTACCTCCTACATTCCTGCCCGTCTCACCCTCCAGGCTCCCGGCCAGACTTTTGATCCTACCATGACAAAGGATTGGATTTGAGTGGTTTAGACTGGTCTCAGATCAGCCCCTGCAGGAGACCCCAGGCAACCCTTGGTTCTGCTTGCCAAGGGGATCTAGAAGACTCCAAGCAAAACCGAAGTTACAAGAGTAATAAATCACTGCGAAAGTGATGAAATGGGAGATGGTGGAGGAGATAGAGACGAGAATGCTGATTAAAAAGTTTTATAGGTAAAGAAATGAATAGTTCTTATATAGTTGAACATGACACAAGCAAAGTCATGGGTCTCATTCCCAGGGGGCACAAATAATGAAAAAACATCCACATTCAATGCACTCTATGATAAAAGTGTCTGATAAAGGTAAGAAAAATAGTTGCTGAAAAAATCATGGAGATCCTGTGACGAATTATTAAAGTAAAACAATACACCCACATTGGCACATTGTGGTGTCAATATATAATAAGTCCAAAACCACTTAGGAAGACAAATAAGAGGCAGGAAAAGTAAGGCACATTTACCGTTGGTCTGCACATTTTTAGAGCTGAGTGCAAAAGATGTTTCTGTGCAAATTTCACAATGGGTTCAGGTTTTATTTACACGGTTTTGCCAATAGAAAGATGCGTCTTGGTGAACTGATCTCATTGCTATGGAGTTGCTAGGGTTGTCTGAGAGGTTATTAGCATGTTACAATGGTACTTGGGGTGAAAAAACACTAATTTTATCAATTGCAGCACCCAAAAAATTGGAAGTGAAGAAGAAAACTAACAAGCCACACAATTTGAAGTATTGTTCATGTCCATAGCACACAAGCTCCAAAACAAATTTTAGTTCACTGTTAAAACAATGACATCAGTGGAGTGAAAGGCTTGTTTACAGTGATGAATCCTAGTACAAATCAATCAACTGCTTCGCTAATGAGAAGAACGATAACTGACCTCCAATGTCTGAGCGAAGCGATCATCGTGTTTTATGAAGCCAGTAAACAAAGCTGAACTGCCTTTCTCTTGTTTCCTCTTCCCTGCTGACTCAGGAACGACTTTCTGGGTAATTTGCAGAGAAAGCAAAGAATAGAGACCTGTAAGTAAAAACAAGAGAGATTAAGCCTGTAAAACCCCCGAGCTCAGCAATAACATGGAGCTTTATTGAAAAATGGATAGAACAAACAGTGAAATCTGATTATGAACACACATGCTGTCCAGAAACTGATATTTCTTAAAGTAATAGTGCACCCAACAATTACTTCTAACAATGAATTATTATTATTATTAAGATTTATTGATTTCAATTGTCTATCATCTTGTTTGGGTATGAAGAAAAGCAGCATGGACATTCTGCTAAATAGCTCCCTTTGAGCTCCATGAAAAGAGTGATGCGTTTCAGTCAACTAGCATATCCTAAAATAAACCCAAATCAAGTATGTAAACAAAAATACTTCTTGTTATGTGTGATTGTAATGCACTGATATCTCTTTAATTAAAGTCACACATACTTTCACTGACCTGTGTTTCCCGTGTTAGTGAACGGGATGAGTATTTCCGCTTAATCAGCCCATGACTCTGTTGGTCGGGACATGCGACTGTTCGAAAGGGAAGGAAGGTCACTCCCGGCACAGCAAGAATTCGGCTGCCGTGCGTCAACACCACGGGCGAACCGTCATGGTTCCCAAGGACATGTCATTGAAAAGGCTTGCGTTAAATTTTCTTAACAAAACCATTACGAAAAAAAGAGGCATTTGGGGGATGCTTGTTTTCTGTTACGAACTCGCCATAAAGCAAAATTTATAGGCTAAAGGAACATTTATGGGACAACTGAGAGTATGGAACATTCCTGTTTGAATGGGTAAATATTTGAAATACATGAACGCAGTTGCCTAATGAGCCTGAGGTTTAAATTATTGGGAATCATCTGAAAGCAATTAAATAGTGGACCAGGCTGGATTGATGGATCAACCCTGGCCTGCACACACTCTCAATGGCTGTATGTTCGCAATGGCATACTGTTGCATAAACTGCTAGACTAGTCATCAAGACTGAATAGTCATCACATTTTTTTTTCAAGACTGTTCATCCATTTTACCAGTCAGTTAGATAAAAAAAAAAACATGGATCGTCTAATTTTTGACACTGAAAAGTAAGACTGCTTGCCCTTTGCTAACTGCAAATTGGTCAGTCTTGACATACAGGAGAACTGCATACTACATATTGTTAAAATAATATACAATAAATATATGTAACCATTTGTAGTACAATTGAATAGAAAACTAGCAAACTGCCTAATATTTTTCTAAATAGTATGTGAAATAGTATGCAGTATGCAATGATAACGCTTCAAACAGTAGTAACAACACATACTATATTATATAGAAATAGTATGGAGAATGCTCTTCCAAGAATGGCATACTACAGTGAGAGATGTCCATGCATAATTTCTGACATAAGTTTAGTATAATTTGCATCTTAAATCCACTTTTGTTAAAAAAAAAATCAAAAACGTTGATATCCGGTCAAAGGTCAAATCAACCACATTGCATTAGTAGCCCATTGAGAGGTGCTGAATTCAGAACGGCATACTAGTATACTACTTTTATCACATCTCTATATGGCAGAAACAGTAAGAGTAAGCTGGAATGCGATTATGAATTCAGCAATGAACACTCAAAATAGTAGTATACTACACCGTTGTTACACGACATCACTATATTGCAAGTTGAATTTAGTGACGGGTGTCCAGTAATTGTGCAAAATGGAATGATAGCATACTGCAGTCACAGTAAATCAAGCACGCCACATACCAAAAAAGAGAGAGGCGTCTAGTTATCCGAAAGAATGAAATACTAGCATACTACACACTCAACACAGTCTCGTGACAATTCATAATTGTTTTACGTTTAGGAAAATTGTTTACAAATGGGTGCAGCTTTATAACATTTTATTACAAACCACTTTCTTACGAATCACGTCATTCAAATTTGTATGTAATAGCAACTTTGTAAAATAAATGTTCTTGTCAGAACAGTTTGGCACTCTTATCTTAATTTAACACATTTTAGCATATTTCAATTCATTTCCACCCAACATATGTGCAGAATTATGGCAATTATGACATAATTAGCATACTGTAAACAAACATATACAACAAAATATCATGAATAGTATGCTAGTATTCAACTACAAACATACCAAGTGCACATAACAGCAAGTATTGCACAGACTATACTGGTCTGGAATGCAATGCAAATCTAACATAGCTAATGCTAAATGCTAAATGCAGCTGCACAGCTGAAATGAGTGATGAGTCTACTTTAATGTGGGAGTTTTGATTGCAGATTTGGGATATTAAGCTGTTTCATATGCACTGAAGCAGTTTGAGTAACTCATATGATAAAGATTACAAGTCTCCAGGCACACCACCAGCTAACACATTCACAGCTCATTTAGGCCTCTCCGAGGAAATCGCAGCTAGTCTTCAGAAAACCAAGCGGGAATAAAAGCCCCAATTACGACGCTGGGTGGGTGTGAGATCGTGGCTCCTTAAAGACAGAATCATGGATATGGAATGCAGATTCCTTCAGCAATTATAATCATGACATCTCTTGTCATACACAATTTGGTCAACAAAATATTCACACTTTCTGAAGAAGTGCTAAACTTGCTATTTGGTTGCTAAAGTGTTATTAGCACAATGCTATGAGGTAACTAGCTGGCTCTGAATGGTTGCTAGATGGTTGTTTTCTGGCCTGGCTCAATAAATCCCACAAGCCTATATGATGGGATTTATTTGCTCATTTTATCATCTGCTCATTTACTTCGAACAAATCATTCGTAGCACAACATGTGGTAGACGGTTTGCACTGTAAAGTTTAATACTTAATGTTGGTAGTTTTTTCAAATTACTAACCCAAAGATTAAACCATAATAGTGATGTTTGACTTTGTAAACATCCTCATAATTCGGCTTCACTCAAGTTCAGAAGAATGTCATGCGCCTTTGTCCAAGTCAGAGATTACGCTGGATCCAGAACGCTGGAAAATGTTCCTTGTAATGATAAATTATTCCAACTCTAGCAGATAACATTGTCTGGTCATTAGTTTGTGGTTGGAAGATGAAGGAACCAAAGCAACGGTGGAGTTCAGATCTGTGGAAAGAACAAGAGTTCAACTAGAGGACACACAGCAGGAGGAAAAGAGTCAACTAAGAGACACAATGGCTTACAATATTTGATTTTGTCGTGCTGTGGATGAAACTTAATTAAACCAAACGGAGGAGACAGATACACAAAACCCATAAATATTGGTTTAGCTCCTTTTGGTTCAACAGGGTAGATAATCAGCAGGTATAATGTCAAAATCTAGCCGACCACATTAAAGCAACACGAACCCCATTTACTTTCTATGCTGCTAAATTTACAAAGTAGATTAAGATTTAAAGCAGCAGTCCATAACATTTTTTGTGTTCAAAATGTATATAAATAAGCGAGTACATCATGAATCCACTTTTCAAACTGTGTTTGTCTTATCCTGAATAACTATGCTACACCTATACACCTATTACACCAGCTTTAAAGGGTTAGTTTAGCTAAAAATGAAAATTACCCCATGATTTACTCGCCCTCAAGCCAACCTAGGTGTACATGGCATTCTTCTTTCAGAGGAATACAATTGGAATTATATTAAAATGGTAGTGAATGGTTGTTTCTGTTTTCCATCAAAGTGCATCTATTCATGATAAAAGTGCTCCACACGGCTCTGGGAGGTTAATAAAGTGAAGCAATGCATTTGTGTAAGAAAAAAATATCCACATTTAAAACTTTATCAACTAAAATAACTAGCCTCCGGCATGCGGTGTCGATATCCGGTGGAAGAGTGACCCTATAGCCGATGTAATGACGAACGCAGAAGTGCAGAGGATAGAGCAAAACAAAACACCAGTCACGACTCACGAATTAGAAGTGTAAAACAACAATTTTTAAAGAGAAATGTGGAGCTTAGGTTAGGTTTGTTGCTTAACTTAAAATAGAGTGCCGAAGTTATGACGTCCTTTGTAGGCCAAAACGCGGAAGTGAGTTAGCATATTAGCACTTCTGGTT